TTTATGCTTAAGTCATTTCTGGTCCTCCATAGACTCTGACAGAGACTCACACAGACCGGACCATTAATGAGCCTCTGTCTGATCCTGAAGCAGCGGCAGGACATCGCTATAATAATGAACATAGCTGTAAACATGAATTGATTATGTTCTGTCTCTGCATCAATGAAGAGTCGTCAATGTCTGCAAACCATTTTCACACCTCTGCAGCTGACATGGATAGACATTACTGTCATGCATTACAGGGCTCATTGCAGCCAATTCATGGTCAATTTAAGACAATTTAGGACCTTCATTTCTTTTATTTTAATTTAACTGTTTACAGAGCAGCGGGAAACCTGTACATCAGACATTTGTTTTTACAGCCACTCCTGGCATTCAAACCAGGGGATTTCCATTCTCAGCCACCTTGTGCTTCTCTGTACTTACAGCTACAGTTTCGTCCGTCAGGGTTCAAGGTATAGTGGGAGGCACAGCGGCACTGAGCACCAGCAGGCGTTGCCAGGCAAAGGTGGGCACAGTTGCCATTGTTTTGGGAGCACTCATTGCTACCATCCTGGCGGGATGAGTGGAAAACCAGGATGTCCAGCATTAGCTCCAGCTGACCCTGAGGACACAATGATTCAACAAAAAATAAGTACATTAATACTGCAAATTTTTATCATGTTAAAGGTGTTAAACGTGAGGTTAGTGACACCAGCGGCCATAGTCAATTGCATGGACAATCCAGAATATGTCAGCCTAAATAAATCTACTTCCCCCAGTCATATAAATAAACACATTCCCGGACTCTGGTCAAGGTGGTGGAGTTGCTGCCATTTTTAACTCCAGTCCAGCAATTAAACCTAAACCTAAACTTAGCTACAACTCATTTGAAAGTCTTGTTCTTATCTCCACACCCATCCAAGAAATCACAACAGCCAATCATATTTGCTGTCGTTTACCATGCTCCTGGGGCTTATTCTGAATTTTTAATGGTATTCCCTGAGTTTTTATCAAGCCTAGTCCTAAACACAGATACAGTTATTATTGTTGATGACTTTAATATTCATGTAGGCAACAATAATGATAGGCCTTAGGCTGTATTCATTTCAGTATTAGACTGAATTGGTTTCACAGTGTGTACACCAACTTACTCATTATTGTAACCACACACTTGACCTTGCATTATCATACAGTGTCAAAATTGAACATCTAATAGTACTTCCACATAATCCGATTCCATCAGACCATAATTTAATAACCTTTGATTTCTCATTAGCAGACTACATACCACTAATGAAAAACTAATTTTCTAGATGTCTACCTAAATTTAAGGAAATAACAATTACATTTAACCCCATATTATCCGGTGACATGACCAACAAATTCTTTAAAAACCCTGGCTCCACTGAGATTGACCATCTTGTCGATAGCTCTGTAAACTCATTACTATTAACATTAGACTCCATAGCGCCTCTGAAAAAGAAGCATGTGAAACAAATTAAATTAGCTCCCTGGTATATTCAAACACACATGAATTAAAACTAGCATCAAGAAAACTAGAAAAGAAGTGGCGCTCCAACAAGTGTGTTGAAAATCATCTAGCCTGGAAAATAGTGTTAAAGCATATAAGAAGACCCTCCACAAAGCAAGAGTGCTTACTACTCCACATTAATAGAGGAAAATAAAAACAACCCCAGGTGTCTCTTCAGCACTATAGCCAAGCTGACAGAGTCACACCTCCATCCAACCTAGTATCCCTCCTCCTCTGAACAGCAACGTCTTTATGAACTTCTTTAATGATAAAATTATCACTATTAGAAATAGAATTTACAGTCTCCTGCCCTCAGTTGACACTAATGCACCATCAAGCACAGAAATCTCAGAAGCAGCTGAGAATCGTACCAATTACTTAGACAGCATCTCTCTGATCACCCTTGATCAGCTGACCACAACAATCTCATCCTCTAAACCCACAACTTGTATTTTAGATCCCATTCCTACAAAATTACTTGGAGAAATTCTGCCCCTTATTAATAGCACTTGGATGAATATAATCAAGCTATCATTATCATCAGGATATGTACCACAGTCCTTTAAACTAGCTGTAATCAAACCCCTTCTCAAAAAACCCACCCTGGACCCGGAGGTTTTAGCCAACTACAGACCAATATCCAACCTCCTTTCCTGTCCAAAATCCTTGAGAAGGTTGTAGCTAATCAGCTCTGTGCGTTTCTCCAGGAAAGTAATGTATATGACGACTTTCAGTCAGGGTTTAGAGCTCATCACAGCACAGAGACAGCCTTGGCAGAAGTCACTAATGACCTTCTAATAGCTTCAGATTAAGGGTTTGTGTCTGTCCTTGTCCTGTACAATCTTAGTGCAGAATTCAACACTTCTGATCATCATATTTTATTGCAGAGGTTAGAACAGTTAATTGCCATTAAAGGAACCACCCTAAACTGGTTTAAATCCTAATTTGCATAAATCGATTCCAATTTGTGCAAATTAATGATGAGCCGTCTATGCACACCACGTTAACCACGGTGATCCTCAGGGTTCGGTGCTCAGCCCAATTTTATTCTCACTCCACTAGGAAACATTATCAGGACACACTGTAAATTTCCACTGCTATGCGGATAACCAGTTATACCTATCAATAAAACCAGAACAGTGTGATCAATTAACTAAACTTCAAGCATGTTTCGAGGACATAAAAACCTGGATGACCCACAATTTTCTCTTATTAAACTCAGATAAAACAGAGGTTCTAATTGGCCCTAAACATGTTAGAGATGCATTATCTAGATGACATTGCCCTTGCTCAGACAGGTCCTGTCTCAAAAAGATGCAGAAAAACTAGTCCATGCCTTTGTCACATCCAGACTTGATTATTTTAATTCCTTATATTTGTAACATGGCGCCCCCCGTGGCAGACGTGTTTGCTTGCTCCGCTCCAGAATGCTGGCTTTTTTTACTTTTGTGTGTATTTTTTACTCTTTCTGCAGAGCAATAACTGTAATGCACTGCTAACATATAATAGACAGGCACTTTTAGGCATCGCTAATACAAAAAGCATTTTTGAATTTAGTGGATTTATACCATCGGAGCTTCAAGTCATTGTTCAAGTCAAGTCAAGTGTACTTTATTGTCAAAAATCAATGTAACAGGGTTAGCACAGAAGTTTGAAATTGCGTTTGACCAGTCTCCAATGTGCAAGTTT